GATCCGTTTGGTCAATAACGTATTTAGGTTATTTCATCATGGTGATAAAGTTGTAGTCATCAGTAATCGATTTTCCGTTTTTATATCTGATATTTTACAAAATCTATTATACTATTATGTATGAGTTTAACACTGTTAATTTTCTAATTATTTATTTTGCTATTTGACTTTTACGCTCATGCGGTTTTATTTTTTACGTTTCACCTAACCACGAGCCCTTCTCACCAGTCATCATGTCTTTATGTTATTATTAGTATTTTTTTTTTTTTTTTTTTTAATATATAGACATATTTATTTTTTAAACTTACTTATGTAGTTTGTCACGCTGAGAATGGTGGTGCAATCCGAATTCAAGAGTCGTGCTTATTTTTAGTTATAGAGTTTTTTTCAAAACAATTGCCCCGTTTTTTTTTTTTTTGTATGCAATCGCTTTTCAAACATTGAAATTGTTTATTTTCAACGAAAAAAATCCGTTAAAAAAAGAGTGTCCCGTAAAGTATAAAAAAATATCTATTGATTATTTTAATTTGAAATTTACTCAAAAAAAACTGCCGGAGGGAATGTCGTAGAGTTTTTACGAAAACGAAAAAATATTATTCAAAATATACAGCTCGATATAAAAGATACAAAGCTTTATTTTTTTTGTTTTTTAAATAACTGCAACTTTTTTAATTGTTCGTTATTCTAAAAACACCATATGACATTACCCCAGAAATATTGTTCTCTATAAATTAACATAACAGTTATAAAAATATAGGAAGACACGAGCTTCTATTATATCCATCCACCCAGCGATATAAAATTATCGCACTGTATATAATAATTAGGGTTATGAATTTGTAGTAAAGTTCATTTTTTCAGCCGATAGTGAAACGTAGCTTTCTGAGTACGTAATTTGAATTATGTAACAACAAATTAACTGATGAAACTTTCATATAGTATTCTTTATAATTGTAAAGTTTTAAATTTTTAACATAATTTTGTTGGACTTCTTAAGTCGTATTTTCCATTTCAGTTCATTTTCCGGTATTTTTAGTTAAATTCCGTCTATTAACATCTTTACACACATATCTTTTGTTTTACACAGGCTGTATACACGTCAAATTTATATTTTTTAAAATAATATTTTACACAAGTTGCATTATAATTTTTTTTTTCACGTTTTACATTTCGACTGTGATATACCGGCGATGAATCTTTAATTCGAAACCAGTTATACACCTATCATAGTACTCCGGGCGACGCATTCATTCATTTATTTGTTTGTTTTTCATTTATATATTTATTTTCTACGTTTAATTTTTTTTTATTATTATTAAATAAATAAATCTGTGTGTGTACATAATATACTGATAATATCAGTGGTGTCGAAATAAATATAAAAATCAAATCAAAACCATTTTAGGTGCGTTTCGTATAGATATTTTTTTTTTTTTTTATGAGACTTTAAACGCACATTTTATTGCATGTTTCGTGCGTTTGTTTGCGTGTTTTGTGCATTATTAAGGTTTTTCGCCGCGTTCGATCCTCAGCCCCAGTAATAATAGTCTACTTTCCGACCGCGGAAGAAGTATGCCCACACACAGAACGTATATAGTGCATCAGTGTGTAAACGCGATTTAACAAACGCGCGCGGGACCCGCGGCGCGGGTTGCCGCGAGTAGTTAACCGTTCGCGCGAAAATCGACCGTCCGCGGTAACGACTCCCCATTCAGACGCGCGTCGATTGTACCGCCGGACGCGACGGGAGACTATGTTATATAAGTTATAAGTTATATAAGTAACGTGTGTGCACGGACATTACGGTGCCGGCTAATTGCGGCCGTCGGGACGGAAACCGTTCGAAAGGAGGGCGCGCGCGCCCGCGCGGGGTGCGACCGGTCGGGTGGCGGCGGGGTGGGGGGCGGGAGAAACGAAAAATGACGATGATGATTAAAAAAAAAAAAAAAAAAATAAAACAAAAAACCTGATAATTGTTTGTTTGTTTTTTTTTTTTTTTTTTTTTTTCGTACGTAAATACAATAGTTTTTAGAGCCTGCATTATACTGTAAAA